AAAAAAAAAAAAAAAAAAAAAAAAAAAAAAAAAAAAAAAAAAAAAAAAAGCCACTGTCGCTAGTGATATCATAACAGCCATACTTCTGTTTTATAAACACTCACTGTTTCTCTTTTATATTTCTTCCATTGTTAGGCAAAAATCCAAAGCTCTCTTTCTTCCATCATCCATTTCTAACACCCAAAACAAAGCTCCAAAATTGGCACATCAATGGCGAAGCTGGCGGAACAGGAATCTCAGAGCAAGGAGAACATGAAGAACGCCATGTTAAAGCACGAGCAGACATTTCGTCATCAAGTACGTTTCTTTATCCCATTTTCTCATCTGGGTTTGTGTTTTTTTACACTAAAAATCTTGCTTTCAGGTGTATGAACTCCACAGATTGTACAGAATTCAGAAGCTTTTGATGAAGAACATAACAGAAAACAGAGGAAAAACAGAGAGATGGGAAGTGAAAAATGAAGAAGAAGAAGAAGATGATGATGAAAAGGATAGTGATTTTATTGAAGAAAGTGAGGTTGAATTGACATTGGGTCCTTCAAATTACAGCAATCAAGTTGGTGGAGGAAGGAGAAGAAGAAGAAAGAGCTGCTTCTCTTCTTCTTCTTCGTCTTCAACCACAGGCTCTGCTCAAAAAAATCGAAGCTTTTACAGACATGGTGAGCTTGTTGGTGGCTCTGAAATGGGGTTTGTGGGGTTTCTTGAAGATGAGATGAGGCTTTCACAGCACCATCCAAATCCATGGCTTTGTCAACCTCTAACCCTTAATCTCACTTCATAAACACTTCGATTCTTTTATGTTCTGCTTATTTTTTAGTTTTCTTGGCTGATTGGGCGTCTAATCTTCTCTTTGTACAAGTTTATAACCAAGTTAGTATAATTATAATCGCGCGCCTTTTAGGTCTTGTTTGATAATCATTTGTTAGAATGATAGCTCCGTTGGGTCGTTAACTTTTACGAGTCGTTCAACCGGAGTTCTCGAAAATGAACATGAATAACTATCTTGAAATGAATCCTTAATACTTCATCTGTGATTCACTAGCACTTCAGTTCAGCTGCTTATTTAAAGCTCAAAGTTTTTTGTTCAATTTGTTAGCAGCAAAAAGAGGCGTTTGTTTCTTTTTAAATTGGCCAAATTAAGCTACCAGAAGAAGAGGGTGTTATTTCAGTAGGTGTCTGCCACTGCTTACAACCGAAGATTCCCAATTGACTAAGCCTACTGCTTCTAAATATTGTCTTGACCTTTTACATATTGTCATCAGTATCACGATTTTAAAATGCATATGCTAAGGATAAGATCTCACAATCTACCACTTTTGTGGTCTAGCATTCCCGCTGGCACTCTTTCCCTTCTCCAATTCATGTGGGACTTCTCCAATCCACCCTCTTTCAAGGCCGAGCGTCCTTGCTGTCACACTGCCTCCTGTCCACTCCATTTGGGGCTCAACCTCCTTGCTGACTTATCACCTAGTGTGTGGCTTTGATACCATTTGTAACAGTCAAAGTCCACCAATAGCAAATATTGTCCGTTATGACCTGTTACTTATCACCGTCAACTTTACAATTTTAAAACGCATTACTAAAAATAGGTTTCCACACCCTTATAAAGAGTGTTTTGTTCGCGTACGTGAAATCTTACAAATGGCTTAAATTAAGGAAGTGAAATAGAGTTGATTCTGAAACATATTGTTTTAGGCTCCATGAAGAATTGAGTCAGAAGAACCGACCAAAGCGTGGTGTTTCTGCAGCTCTGTCCCTGTTGGGCGTTGAGTTGGCTGTTCACTTTGCTTATTAATCCAAAAGAAAAGAGAGAGATTGAATTATTCAGATTCAGACTCCACTAATACTCACTGTTCTTCTTCATAATTCAATATTATTTACAACATAACAGAGATTACAAAGTTTGCAAATCCTTGGAAGCCAAACAAAGAAACAAGAAAAAAAAAAAAAAAAAAAAACAAAGAAACCAGACTCTTCACAATGCTGCTGTATAGAGGTTTTGAAATGATTCATGATACGGAATGGCGCCGATCCTTGGCTGGCCTTACTCGGCCTTTCGTGTTCGATGTGATACCGTCGGCACGCACGAACGGGTAGAGGCGACCGAGCTTCTTTGACACAGAGTTCATGAATGATTTCTTGGGCAGTGGAGGCTTGTCTCCCTGCAGCTGAGTGTTTGTGTTTGTGTTTGTATTTGTTTGTGGACTGCTGCTAAGTGATGCCTTCTCAAACTCCCTCATTTTCATTTTCATTTTCACTAGCTCCAGCTTCAGATCAGCATTTTCTCTTCTCAAAAGGGAGAGCTCATCTGAAACTGAGGCTGCTGCTGTTTCATTGGAGTATATGTTCAATTTAGCAGGTGCTGCAGGCAGCTTGACTTCGGCCACACCACCATTCATGACATCTCGGAGGCGCTGCTGCTCATAATATAGCACCTGCACCACTGTTTGAACAGGAAGGCGATCGTTCTGTGCGGCATGGGCGCATGCCTCTCTTGATAGCTTCTGGCACTCCATTAAACTGCACACTTTCTTCCTTTCCATATCACTCAATGCAGGATGAGCCTATTAAATTAATACCCCTGTTATGATAAAGCTACTTTGAGTTTGAAATTAAGTTATAGAGATGATAGTTGTTTCACCTTCAAGTAGATATCTATGGCCCTATACATTCCATCTTCTGTAACTCTTGATTGTTCAGGGATAAGCTCAGCAATATTAATGAATTTCGACACCGATAAGTTGCGGTCCGAGGCGATTTCAGCAACATAGCTCTCCATTAATCTTCCCACCCTTTGAAGCTCGCCTGATGATGAAGAAGAGGGAACACGTTGTTCCTCATTTGCATCGAGTTTGAGTTCGAGATCGAGATAATTCACCATTATTCGTTGTGCGGTGTCGACGTCGAACAATGTATCACCAGTGAAGGCATAAGAGGGAATCAAAAGGTCATCCAAAGCAGCCTGTCCTAATTGTGCAGCCATTCTCTTCTCCAAATCTAACCGGCAAGCAACCGTCGTGTCGAGATATAACGCTGCACGGAGGAGCATTGAAAGAAAGCTAACTGAGAGTGCATTCTTCTCCCTTGGTAGAAGACTCACTATTGTTTCCAATACAACTCTCTTTTCATGCTCATGTTGTGCCTCAAATTTCTTCCTTCCCTTTGCAAACACCTCCAAGCCACGGAGTGATTTCTGTGCATACAGCATTAGAAGTGGAGCAAGAGAGTAATGTTTGAAGCCTCTAGACATCATTGCAACAAGAACTCTTTGGAAGATATCAATTCTTAGAACAGTTAAGTCATCAGCCCACCAATCAACCATACTAAATTGGGTGTCTTTGCAAGCCACAAAGGCAATGGCATCAATGCAACGGCTCACCAATTTCACCTTCTCAGCTGTTGGAAGCAGTGTTTGAGACATGTGCAAAACAGACACAGCCCCTGCAAGGCTTTTCAGTGCAACTTCATTGATGTACGCCTCACTTCTCCCTACCAAGTTTCCAATGGCATATTCCTCCGTCATCTCGAGATACTCCGCCACGCACCGGAGCATCGCGATATTCTCGGTGCCGATCTCAAAGTTTATCCCATAGCAGAACATGGCAGCTAGCTCGAACGCCTCCGCGCCACCAGGACAATCAGGAAGCTCAATACTTGTGAGATCACCATCACTTGACTCTGATACTACTTTTCTTATATGCCCACATTTTGAAACAAGTGGGAACTGCAAACAACAACACAATTCACTTCCCATACCTTAAAAACATCAAAATTTACTGTTTTTTTACCTTGTGCAAGGAGAAAGAGGCTTCTCCAACATGAACTGTGACATCACTTGGAATCTCTTGGGAAAAAATCCTTAACACAAACAAAAACAAAAACAATCCTATAATAACAGGAAATGTAAGAACTTCCATTAAAGAAGAAGAAGAAAAAAACATACCATTCACTTGTTCTTTTCATGGCTGTGGAAAGACGCTCATTCTTAGAAGAACAAACTCCAGCTTTCTCTGCTTCAGAATCAGCCATGGGAGAGATTCAACAACAACCTTAAACTTCATGATGTGTTCCTCATCATCATCATCATTCAGGAGGACAATCTTTTTGCTTCTTGTTCTTGTTTCTTTCTACTAACAAAAACCACTGAATTTCAGCTCAAAGCAGCTTCAATTTACTTGTCAGCTTACCAAATCATCAAGTTCATGAGCAAGAGCCCATGTGAAATGGCAGAAATGGGCATGGAGAATGGGAGGAAAGAGATGGCATTTGTGGTAATAAAGGGGAAAATGGAGGGGAGATTGGGAAGAATGGAGATGGGGTTAATAAGATCATGTGGTGTGGGCTTTGGTTAAGAGATGAGGATGTTGGGTGGAGACAAACACAGGAAAATACAACATGGGAAGTGGGAAAAAAATTCCCAACCACAAATGTTAACATCTTAATTTTTCCATAAAACTTAAAGCCTTTGGTCTTATCTCCAAAACAATCTTATGAACTCAAAATCTTCACCTCCTAATGTTTTTTTACAACACCACCAAACAACAATCAGTTTTTTTTCTAATGTTCGGGTGTGAATGTTGTCTCGTCCTCTATTCCAAGCAAGAAAAAGATTTAGCGAATTCTTAAGGAATATTTCTTTTGAGGGGGTCGAGTACAATTATTTGATTGAATTAAATGTCGACAATATTGTACTATTGTGAAAGTATGAAATTTCGAGTTGCTAAGTCTATTAAGACGATCCAGTATTTGAAAATCTGGTCCACACGATAAGAATTGAGTTGGGTAGAACGGTAGAAATTGTTATTTATTCTTTTAGAATCAAATCAAACCTCGGTTCAAAAAAAAAAAAAATCTTTTATTTAATTAGAAAGCTTTCTATGAGGTAATTTAATGCAATTAAATTTTCTTTTATACCAAAAATATTCTTTTTCATTTTAATAGAAATAACGAGGCTAAATTAAAAGCACCCATCAACTTCATATTTTGTTTTATACCAAAATTTTCAAAAATTTGATAATATCTTTAAATAAAAAATAAAAAATATATTCCAAAAATTTCATTAATAACTTTCAATTTTTTTTAATAATAATAATAACCTAAAGCCGTTTGATGGCCCAACAAATAAATTATTATTTGTCCAACCACTGATCACCTAAATTTTGGTTTACATGTTCTTCAACTTCAACCAAATGCATGCCAGCCTCCAACATGAGGGATGATGCATAGTTGTGTTGTTTGGATGACTTCCTTTTCAAAATATTATTTCTATTTTTTTTTTTTAATTTTGATTTAATCACGAGTAAAAGTTGATGTTCCCATGTAGTTCTCGAGAGAATAATGAACTTACACATCGTCCAGTGTCTGGCTCTGATACGAACTGTAATGGCCCAGATCCATTACTAGTGTATATTGTTCTCTTTGAATTTTCCTTTTTGAGTTTCTCCTTCAAGGCTTTAAAACGCGTCTGTTAGGGGAAGATTTTTACATTTTGATAAGGAGTGTTTTGTTCTCCTCTCCAACCAATGTTGGACATCACATTAACTAGTTGAGATTTGTTCAAATTGACTTAAAGATAACCACGAACATGTACCCGTTGGAATAACAATAATAAAGGAATAAGGCCATTCCCCTAGGTATGTAAGGCCCTCCACTAGGTCGTCTAAGGGCATAAGAGGGTGTCCCTTTGTGCCCCAAAATAATTGTCCTATCAAACAAGATGAGCTTGGGAGCTGTCACTTCCATGTATGTCAAGTCTCTATATTTAGTGGCTCTATAAAAATTTGTTTGGCAAATTTGAGCCACAAATGGAAATGAACATCTTCCTAAAGCAACCCAACCTAAACAACAACTTGTCCCCATCCCACATGGGTATGCTTTGAGTTTAATACCTCGATACAATATCAAATCTCAACCGACCTAATTTGATTATATGCTATCTTATTTTCTTCTTCATTTATTACATTCAACGTCTTTCTTATTCTTTTAAATTTTGTTTTGATTGTCTTATATGTTTTTTGATGTATCATATATGGCTGTCTTTGTCGGGAAGAAATGTAAAAAAGATTTGAAAAAAAATGAGTCGAACAAAGCGATAATGAATATTTTTTAAACTTGTGAATGATTATAAAAGAATAATTTCTTCGCCTGTGATTCATCTTTTGTTTCATTTATTTGAGTAGATAGCTCTTTACCAGCTTTATTAAATGTCTATTTTGGTTCAAATTTAATATGGTTCCACGTCTCAATTGACATTATTTATTAGGGAGTTGTTTATTATTTAAGGCAATTAAGGTCGATATAAGCCTATTTCCTTAATTTGAATTAAATTAAATTAGGTGTTCGGCGTTACTAAGATTATTGAGTGAATATTCTAATAGGGTGAAACACCTCAACGATACTTGAAAAAACTTTAAGGGACGGAATCAAGCATTTGAGTTTAGGGAGAACGTTGGCTAAGGCCAACCAAGTTCGTAGTCTTACTATCATCTCGGTCAGAAGACTTGAAACAACCATATATGATGACACGTGCCCATTGAACCTTGCACGTGCCATGTAGCCTAATATAAGATGACAATGATATGAAATTATATGATATGATGATGTGAATTTGTATGAAATGATGATTTATTATAATGACGTTATGATGATATGATGATATGATGATGTAAATTGATGCAATATGATGATGCATTATGATGATACGATGCATGATGACATGATGATGACATGATGGCATGATGATGACATGATGACATGATGACGACATAACACAATATGATGATATTTTATATTATGATGATGTACATGTACGAGATGTCTTGTTGTATTATGTTGAAGAGTTTTCTAACACAACTCTAAATGACGTTATTGATGGTGAATGTATGAAAGCTTATGCATTCATGTTATGTAGGGTAATTTGTGAATGATGTATAGGGTTTTGTTATAAGAATAATTTAAAAGGAAAAATATAGGAATATCATGCATATTGTATGTTCATTTACATCGAGTTATTTTTCCATTTATGATGATGAGTACAAACGCGTACACTGATGATGGTGGTCATGCTTTACATGACATTCGAGAGTTTACTAACCTCCAAACGTTCCTACAGTCAACTAGCCTGACTATGATGGGCCAAAGGGGTGTGTGAACTATCTGGTGGGCTCACGCTTGCACATGTGAGTCGTATGTAGAGAAGTACTACACATCCAACTTGCCTAGACTAGAGGCCACATCTATTATGGTTTTAACGATATGTCTATAATCATGAGTTGCATGTATTTGCATTCTTTTGACTCCAATAATGAGGTCATTTATTGAGTATTTTTTAAAATACTCAAGTCGTGTGCGTACTTCTATTTTTTCAGGTAAAGGGGAGGCACTCCTGTACAGCTAACAACAATATCAAGTCATGTGCTACTTATATTTTTTTTTTCAGATAAAGGCAAGACACTCTTGTACAACTTACGACAACATCACAAGTAAAAAACATGACTAAGATATAGAATAGTTGGATTTAAATGCTTAGACCTTAGGTTAGTATAAAATGTTGTCATTTTTAATATTTACATTTTTTATATTTAACATTTGAGTGGTATGGCTTTAAAAACCTTTTACTTAAACATGCAAGATCATGAAATTGTTTTCCGAAGATGTTTCAATTGATTATTTCCGCATAAGAAATTTATGTTATGAAAATGGTAGCAACTTTAGATTAATAGAAATCTAGAAAAGTACTCCTTTTAAATAGCTCAACTCCAAAACTTGGACCGTGGATTGTGCATTGTTCATGCTGAAGGATGCATAATTGTGGATGACTACACTAGAGAATTCATGAGAGTTGAAAAAGAACACATCACTGTGTCCATTGCTATAAATTGCATGAACAGAGGGACTGAGAACCCAACTAATCCACCAAGAGCGCCGGGTGGAACTAACAAACCTATGCAAACCCGTTCTCAAGCAAGGGCATATGCATCCATCTGTAGAGATGTCAGGAAATCCGATACAATGATGACAAGTACGCTATGGATTTTGAGATATTATGCCTTGACTTTATTTGATTCAACTTCTACACATTCTTTTATATATGTTCCATTTGTTAGACCAGCAAGGTTTGAACACCATTACTCTTCATTTCTTATCTTTTATCTGTTGTTTTTTAAGGAAAAAATAAATAAATAAATAAAACTGTTACTTAAAAAAGTTTGATTAACGCTCTGTTACTTCTGCTTTATAAGTAGAAAATGATGCAAATATGGTGTTAAAGCTTTCTATAACAATCGTTTGCAGGCACAGATTGATTTGGAAGATTAGGTACCTGCTTAAACACACCTCCATCTTTGCATCATTTTCTCACCCATTTGTGGAAACCTATCTGGTTGATATCATTAGAAAATTAACTACACGTATGTATAAAACTTGAGTTAATAACAATTCAAATGGTGGAACCCAAAAATTACTAGTTTTCTATTGGAGCATTAATCGATATGACAAATATATACAATGTAGAGGAGAGAAATGAATGGATATCTAGCATGCGTACCTCGGTTATATATGCAAACTCAAACTGTAACTACAAAATCCTGCAACTGCACCCAACCATATGCACTGCGATCTCGAAGACTTTGAATTGTTGATGCAGCTAACTCTACTATTGGCCGAATTTTAGCCATTTCTTTCTCTAAAGTTACCCTTGCATGGACCTCCAACTGTTGCATAAAACAAACAATATCTTAATGGCTTGTGGATAATGTCTAGATTGTCTCAACTAAAGAATATAGAAGCGAATGAAGAGAATCAAACAACCTTTTCCATACAGCGTATGGTATCCAAAGTGTGACTAAAATATGCAAGCTGCTTGTACAAATCCACTTCTGTGTACTGATGTAATGGGACAATCTCGATTAGAACCATAACTCTTAAGATGTAAAAGAACTATAAGTGCTTGAAAAGTAGATGATATAATAATACCTTTCTTATTAGACGCCCATTGCAGTGGGTATAGTTTGGGCAGATGGTTCCTTTCTCAGAGTCGCCCATGACTCGAAGATTGACAGCACGTGTGGCATATTTGCAGGTTTCATCCTCACACTATAATATTCAAAAGAATTGTGAGATTTACACTTTCACTAACAATATAATTTGCTCCCATAAAAATCTAGGAGGTGGATTTTACCATCAGTAAGCCATTATAATACATCGAAATGAACCTCTCTGCTTGCCTTTTTACCTGTGACATTATAAATTGTGATATTGTTAAATGGTACTTTGAGTTTCCAAATTGAAACAAGTCTTCCCTAGCAACACACGACATGACAGTCTAATTTTGAGACCCCATTCTCAAGAGTAGTACCAAATTTGATCCAGAATCAATTCGGGTGTCCAATTCTTGTACCATTTATAACCATTTGCAGATTAAAAAGCCACATATAGATGCTATACGTTCTCTAGAAAGAGCATAATGATTGATTGTTTGGAAAAAGTGGCATCAAATTGCAATGCATAGGCACCTGGTTGGCAATCATTCCAGGAGTCATTCTACCCGCACTAGCTTCGTCAGGACATTTCGGACAACGCAAATTATTCCAAAATTTGCTTGTAGGTTCATCAACTGCCTTTTCTTGCTTTCCATCTGCTGATTTGTATATAGAACTGAAGATAGCAGGACACTCAAAAGTACCAGAACAACTGGGACAAGTTAATGTCAGTGGTATACAGCCCTGATACCTGCAAGTGGTTAAACAAAAGCGAAGTTATAATTTTAGAATCCACAAAAACTTTTAAGTTCTAAGAATTATGGAGAAGAATAAGTACAGGTACGACATGCAAAGGAAATAAAAGGATTGGTCGAAAATTTAGCAATTCAAATCATTAACATTCCTCATCATCATTTACTTTCTTTTTTATATATACAAGAAAGAATTTTATTGATGTATGAAGGGAGGAGTTAACTATTTCATTACCTTTCCTCATCGTTTATGGAACACAAGAGGGAAGAGGAGACATCACTTCGGGAAACTTCACTTGATTTGTTTTGAAACTGAACATGTACACAGTACCTCAGAAGTGCGAATACAATATTGGAACGAAACTGAGGAAACCCTCTACTTTTTTTTCTTTTTTCTTTCAGTTAGCAGGATCTATGTTTTACCTTCGATGAATCAAGCCCCAGACAGTCAGCCAAGCGTTCTGGGCTAGTGCCCTGGATTGAGGCACATAGACGGGAAACCACAGGGTGAATCTGTTCATATGTTAAAAATATCAACCCATTAGAATAGCATTAACAACAGATTATGATCATTTGTGGCAAAGCAATTAAAAGCAACAAAACAGGAGGAAAACCTGCTGTGACAGGTAGTAAACGATGTCGATCATCCATTTTCCATCTTCCTTTTTTAATTCATCAGGATGTCTAGCCCGCTGAGCAATGCCTACAGAACCACCAGAAGTAGATCCCTGACCAGAAAAGCAAAGCAAGGATTAAAATGGAAAAGAGAATCTCATTATTGATATACTGCCAACTTTTCTATCCAAAAAAGTATTCTACTGACTTTCAGAGTTCACCAAGTAAAATAGTTATAATTTCAGTTAAAGCATCATATGTAGGAATAAAAACCAAACCAATTGTACAAACCTGCTCACAGCAAATTATATATGGGATCGTATCACCAACAGAACAGCCAGTTGAATAGCCCATTTGTTTTAACCTTAGTGCAACCTGTTCATTGATCATACATCATCAAGACTAATGTAATCGTTAATAAAATAATTTGGCTGTGGTTTAAGCATCTGCTTACTTGAACATGTGGTTGGTTTCTGGCATCAGGATAGGCTTCAGGTGGCTTGGTCAATGTCTTCGTGATGATATATTTCTCAAGTGCAACTTGCCCTTTCCTCATATCCTCTTGTATCTGTGTAAAATTAGCTCATTTAAATCCCAAATAATTCTTCATAAACAATATTGATTGTAAACCTTCAAAGATTCATTTTTTCTACTTTTCAAATTTTGAGCAGTGGTTGTGTTTTTATTTTATTATTATTGTTATTATTTTGGTTCGGGGGCGGAAGATGTTTTGAAGAATTGTTTGACGATCATTGCCATTTTATGAACACAGCCCAATTAAAATTTTAGCAACTTTCTGAGCAACAACGTAACATCTATCTCAAAGAGGAAGGAAGTATTCACAAAATCGCAACATGAAAAGGTAATCTTTTTACCTTCACAAGAGAATCGTGTATCGATTCAGTGACATCCTCACATGATCTGTAAGCATGGGGAAAGAGGGAGTCAGAGTAAAATTAATGCAATTTCCAACAAATAACTTCCATTTAGAACAAACAAATAAAAACCTCAAGGGAAAAGACATACCCTCCAGACAATATTTGACTCAAGCAGAAATCACCTAATTCCTTTGACAATAAGCTCCAATCACGACGAACCATATCAAGACCCTTGCGCTCAATAACCTGAATATGACGCCAAATGGAAGTACATTGTAGTGACCTCATATGGAAGTATATCTCCTATTTATTTCCAAAAGAGACCAATTACAAATGGAAGTATATTGTAGTTACCTCATATGGCATTCCATCCTTGAACTGCAACTTTACAGCTGCATATTTCTTTTTCTTCAGAAGCAGCATTCTCTTATACAAGCCATCAAGATCAATTTCTAAACATTTATACTTTTTGTTGACCTGGAAAAGGAAAAACGGAAAGGACCTCGCATTAATACTGACATTATGAATGGAAAGATTTAAAAAGAAAATGCTGTTGTCTTGATCTGTAAGGGAACCTATTTGTGTTGCATCATATAAAACTTCCAGTGAATTATGACTGATTTAGATGGACCTCAAAACTATTATCGAGCATTTTTTAAGACAAAATTTCAAACCCAGAATAAAGGGCTTTTTTTTTTTGCATGCGTGTTACCACAAATTGTGCATACTAAATGAGACGGCACAAACAGGAAAGTTCCACAATTTCCAATAATATAATAATTTGATCCGTAAACAAGAGAGCAGTTTAGTAGGTTTCCAACATAATAAATGCAAATATACTTTGAAAAATTCAACCAGACCCCACAGCCTCACCTCTTGTATAACTTTTACTGCAATTGCTTTCACTTGACCAATATCATCAAGTCCACTATGAATCATTATTGAATCGGTATCACCATAAATTACCTGTCATGAGAAAGATAATATATTCATGAGTCCAAAGTACTCGGTAGGGCATGGAGTTTATGCAGAAATCTATATAATTTAAGGATTTCAGCGTTCAACTATAACCTCTAGGTTCAGATTATTCTGTACAAGATCAACAGTGCTCTGCAATATTTCTCTTCCCTGTAAAAGAAGTAGATAAGTAGCATAAGTGAAAGTTGATGTAGATTCTTTTTTTCTTTCTTTCTTTTTCATTTTCTTGTGTTTTCCTGGAATACTGAAGAGGGGAGGGTGGTCTATGACATGATTAGCATAAATTAGAACTGCCAATCTGCAACACAAGCAACCTAGTTCCCTTACTTGTGAAGTAATAAGCTCTGCCAGTGGTTTTGCATAAAACCTTGAATTAGAAAACCCAAGGCATCCATACATACTGCATCACCATTGCCGGATTATGTTAAGGCACAAAGAAAAAGATGATTAGAACACAAGATATATGTAACAGAAGAATGAAAAATAAGCATAAGGAGAAAAATACCTGTTTGCAGTGAGCTTTAATGCCTGCTGTTGAATGTCAAGTTGCTGGAGCTTAATACCAGATGCATTCTTCATCCATGACTTCACCATTCTTCTCCTCTGAACCAGATTTTTTAGCAACTGTAGAAAACAGAAGTGAAGAGTATCATCATTGCCTATTCTTTCTACCAAGAATTGGAAGAATATAAGATAGTAAAACATGGACAGGAGTCCCATGACATGCATTAACCATTCCTTGGGTGCAACTCGTGCCTTGAAACAATGACCAAAGAAAGAAAATACAGGACTCAAAATTTGACCTTTTAACCTTATATAAAGGTAGAGACATTTCAATTACGACACTGCAACTCCTATACAAATATCACATGGAAGATCTCAGAAGATTTCATGAAAAAAAATGCTTTAATCAAACAAGATGATAGCTCAATGAAGCACCTTTAGGTTGAATAAAAGCAAACGAGAATATGGTAACACTCCTGCCCTAAGAAACATGCTTCCAGAAGAACCCCAAACAGATAGGAATAAGAGAAGTTCTGAAGAACCCTTGAAATTTTAAACAAACTAAGAAAACCACCCTACTTCACCCAAACCAACATCGAATCCAAACACCAACCACTAAATACAATACAAATATCAAACTCCCTTTAATACAAAGGATTTAACATATTTTGAAACAGCATCATAATGAATATTCATGATCACCCCAAATGATATGGGAACAGTTGTGACAAAAGTTCATAGATGTGGATGGACTTACAACAACAATCCATATAATTAGCTATATAGCGACAGTCACGGTTCAAAATTAGCCCAACACATTATTGTAGATTAATGTAATAATCATTTTTTTATCACCAAATGTATTATAACATTTCCAGTTCCCACTCATTTCCCATAAGTGCAAGCATGAAAATAGAACATTAGCAACCAATGGAAAAGAAAAGAAAAGTGAAGGAAAAAAAAATCATTTTCTAAGACTTGAGGATATTTTCTTAAGCCTAAACATTTGAAGAAATTTAGTTTTCATCCAATTGTGCATAATGTACCTCAGGAAGAACTCCAGTGACTTTACTAGACGGCAGACGAGGAATGACACCATCTGGAGATCTTTCAACAGTGGTGAAGCAAATATTATATTCCTACATGATCAAGATACAAGTTCCCACAAGTGTGGCACACAAATTAAATTAGATCACTCTGTACTACGCTTAAAATACACCAGCAAGAAGTTGATGAACATTAAGGGGACCAACAGACTAACCTGAATGATGGAAGGATACAGACTGTTGAAGTCCAGGAGCAATATATATTTATCATATAAACCTCGTTTTGGCTCCAAGACTAGCCCACCTGCATAGGAGGATCCCTTTTTTCCTTTTCCACTTTCAGTATTGGGAGCTTCTAAATTTGCATCATCTAAATCAACATTATCAAGATTTTTTTCCTCAGAACCATGATTCGTTCTCTTTTTAACCATCTTTTTTTCCTTCACATAAGTTGAAATCTTGTCGGGGACAATATACTTTTTGGCATGGAATGCATGAAGTAAGAGATACTCTACTCTCTGGGCTCTAGCACCCTGAAAAAGTATTTTCATCAGATCAAGACGGGTAAAACTCTCATTATAACTTTATAGAAAAACTATGGAATGAAATCAAGATGAAATATGTCTATAGGACTTACCTGCAGACTTCTTCCCCAGAGGTTACCACTAATATTAGTCAACTGACGTGTAAGGGGAAGAACACTTAAATGAAACATGAGTTCCAATGACAACCATGCATCTGTCTCACCATATTCAATCTGAAATATTAAAACACCATGAGAATAAGGCAGTTTGAAGACTTAAATATAACATGATTATCAATGATAACCATGCATTTGTCTCACCATTTCAATCTGAAATATTGAAACATCATGAGAAATAAAATTCGAAAATTCAAATAATATGACAAATTTCAACTTTTAGTTTAGCATTCGTGAAAAAGAAAAATAACCCGTTCATAAACTTTGACCTTCATTCCTTTCTGTAGCTGAAAATCAATTTTGTAACCTTTTCTGATTACAAGAGCCCTCTAAACTTATAGTTATAATAATGAAAAGTTAATTATGGCAGATGTTAATGAACACCGTTGGATTAAAAAATAATACTTTTCCCCCACTTTCATTTCGTCTCTGGCACAAGTTCGCAAAACATCAAAACTTTGAATGTTAATAGTACTTCCGAAAGGTAAATTTGAACTCGTGGCACTTAGGCCTTAGCTTGGGTCAAAAGCCTTTGGCTGATAATATTTATAGATATGCAATATTCTAGCATGTTCAAGTTATTGATCGATAAAAAGAACGGGGGTAGTCAATGAAAGGTTCTCGTGGCTTCACCAATTGTGACTCATATATTTAAACATAATGCGAGAGAACTCTAACACAGTAATTATTTCAAAACACTATAAGCTATCACATCTCCGGACCAAATATTCACAACTATTTTATCCAAATTGTAATAACTGCGAACAAGTACAATGATTCCAAGGCCAAGTGGAACGATATAGAATCCTCAACTCACCAGGTTCATGAGAGACTCTGATGCATGGTACATTCTTGGAATATCGTGAGGAGTGACTTCCTTGCGGTCCTTGCTAAGTTGAGTCTTTGCTAGCTCTGTCAAAGAATAACTAATCTGAAAGAATAAAAGCAAGGCTTCAAAACCCAAATGATTAAATGACACCAATACATCTCCAACATATATACTATACCTCTTTCAATAGGTCACGGGAAGACAAGTACGTATCACATAAGAGCCGACCAGCAATGCAAGACATGACTCCGGGACTTGCTCCAGACCCAAAAATGCCCCCTCCTTTTCCAAGTTTAGGCATAACAGACCGCTTAAGACGACCTATTTTGGACCACATGCAGCTTGGTACTCGGCAAAACTGTAATATAATAGAGAAACTTCTAAGTAAAATTGCACCTTTTCTCGTCATTTTGTCAGCAAGGCAACAAGGAACCATATCTAGGATATAACTTCTATGAAATCTTCTAAGACACAATATTTCAGCATTCTTTTAGACGAATAATTCATGTACTAATGACATAATATGAGATGAATAATGGGAGGTTCTTGAGAGACATTAACTTCAGAATAGATTGGGGGTTTTAATGTGCAGATGAACCATTCACTTTGGAGTAATTTCATAGACTACTTGAAGAAGTCAGCTCTTAACCTTACGTTTGTTCCAAGTCAAAAGAAAGAATGAATCTATAAAGAAAAAACCTTCAAACAGAAAGAGAGATAGAACACTAGTTTCAGGGTAAATTACAATAAAAGAAAATACAATAATTTTTTAGTAAGGTGTAAAAGTGTCAAATGTGTAGTTTTTGGTTAGCTTTAGAAGCTTTTTGAGAATTTCAATAACATCAAGACCGTTTGTTTGTGATCCAGATTCTGGGGTGCTTTCCAAAGTTTTATACTGTATCTACTATTTTTTCTAAGGTTTATACAGAAAGTGAAGTGAATACTTCTTTTTGTGGCACCGAAGGCAAAGAACTTTTCATTTTTTGCAGTTTAAAGCTTCTTTTAGGGGTTTATGATCAGGAAGTTCACTTTGAAGAGTAAAGGCAAAAGAGTTGTTTTGTTCCTTCTTAGTGGATCATGGATGCCATCTTCTTCTTCTTCTTTTTCTTTGGCGTGTGCACGCACTGCTGGAGGAATAGATTGTATGTTATGGGGTCTTGGGACGTTTATTTACTCCTCAAGGAGTTTGTTACTATGCAAAGATGGTTGTAACTTTAACAATTTCAAAGAAAATTTTTGTTTCCTTCTCAAAAGGAAAAAGAAAAACACTTAGTTACTTTGTTTATATTAATTTATTGATAATTGTACCTGGGCTCGATGGAGAAGAACATCTAGGTCAAACCCAGAGATATTGTGTCCAACCAGCACATCACTATCCAATTTGAACAATTCAATCATTAATCGATTCAACAAGGCTCGTTCACTGCAAGGGAAAAGTTCTAGTTAAAACAATAGGACAGAATGAATGAAATAACTCCATTCACTACCTAAAAAAAATATATATTAATATTATAATTTTGCTAGTAAGAGAGAAGTTTTCTACAAGATTTTAGGACAATACTACTAAGTAACCTACTTGCCCTCGCAGATTAAAACATTTGATCCAGCCTTCGAATTTCTATCTGTGGACTCTTTAGCAAATCCCATAGGAAATATGCCTCCATCAAGCTTACGGATGATAGTAAAATGTCTAAGCATACCAGGCTTTTTCCATTCTGTGGCTAACATGGGACCGTCAATCTGAAATGTCAAGCAGTAGTTGATGAAGATTTAATAATGTTAAATAATTTCCATATACTTTGATAAATATCTGTATACTTGAGAGTAAAAACAAGCTAATAATTATTTTACAAAAATTTACCATAACTAGCTACAGTTTAACTATTGAGGATACATACTTCAAAAGCTTTTAAGTAGTCATTACAACTCTTCCAAAAACTCGTCATTCTTAAATTGATTTCATTCATAAAGTTCAATTGTATGCATCCATCATACCGAATTCACAACATAATTCTACACTGAGATACAGATAGATTGATAAAAAAAAATGTAAAGATTCAACAATTCTACTTGAAAGTTTGTATTTTTCCTATCAAGTAGACCATGTTCCTCTGAGGTATATAGTTGCTGTGACTCTATCAATTATCAAGTACACTAGCATAACCCTTCAGACATCTAATAGCTGGTTGACAAATCCAATTCACATTTTTAACCAAAAAAAAAAAAAAAAAAATTGTCACACCAGAAGAAAAATGCAAACATAATCAATAACAGTGGCAGTAGTTCATAACTAACCTTCGCTCTTTGACAGCATATAACAGATGCAGACACAATTTCATTGACATTCTGCTTTTCATTAATAATGGTCTTTATGTTTATTGCAGTGGCAATCATAGGAGGAATCTCCAAAGTTTTGCTTGATGAAGTTGAAATCTGAACATCTTTTGGAGAGTCAATTATCACTTCAAACTTGCACCAGCTCACCTTCATAAGAATATCATCATAGTATTAGCTTCTTTGATGTATATAAATATTAGTGAATTATGAAAGGACCAAGCAGTCTTACTCGTTGAGAACCAGGACAGGAAGAAAATTTTGAAATTGACAACCAGGAGGGACCCTTTATTTTCCTTTTAATGAGAAGAAGCTCCAAGGCACTGCATTTATTGACATGTTAAAATCATCAATTCCCTTAATCAAGAAAGTATACTGAATGCACATGTTCATATAGTTGATAGAACGTAAAGATGTGAGATGGCTAGAAAAGATAAAAGCGTGCATTCTAAGATATTTATACCTGCGATGCGTTCCTAAGAGTGCACAGAACGATTCTCCTTTTAGATCAGCAGGAAGTGGGGGGTGCTGTCACAAGTTTAACCATAGTCAGTAATTCCCAAATGGCAGTGAAAATAAATATATAAATTAACAATAAAAACAAAACTAAGAGATGTGCCTTCCCAAGGGAAATTTAAGAATTTAAACCTCCAAAGAACTACAAATTATGGTGTTCAAGATCTCACTGTACTAAAAAACTGAAAAGATGAATCTTAATTCAAATTAAAAGTATCATACCTTGAATGGGTAATTAATTTTAAGAACATAATTTTCCCCCGTAGGTATGTCTTGACGCTCAAATGCATATTTCCTCTGTAATGATATTTTTTTAATAAATACATAATAAGCTGGTAATTCAAAAAAATTAAACAAAATTTGGCATTGTACAACTACATAATTATATATATGAAATAAACAAAAGTTTAATTAGCAAACCTTAACGGGTGTCATGCTAAATGTTGGAACATTGAGATCTAGCAACTGCTGAGCTATTTCATTTTTTAATCCTGCAGTCACTTCCTAACAGAAGTAAAGTATAAATACATTAACAGAAGCAAGCAAGATAAAAATTTCTTCAGAGAGACCAAAGGATACCAAGCATAACATATTCAGTTACAAGAGTGGATAACATTACTTGCAACTTGGTGCGCAGATCTGTAGGAGAAAGCTGGGATTGTTCGGCATCGTTCTGAAGCTTCAACATCTCATCCGAATGAAGAAAAAAGGCACTTGGAATGGCATATACGCATCTCTGCACGTTTTTCACCACCACACAACAACTATGGTACGTATCTCCAGCTTTGACCTATTACAAGAAGATAGGAGACCAAAGTCGATCAAGATGATCATTCTTATCATCTGGATTCACTTAGTACTAGTCGGTTCTATTAATTGGTATTGATAGGCAGTAAACTAGTGATATTCATTTTATGAGTTGCAAGTGTTCGAATGATTACTATTGATAGGCAGTAAATTAGTAATACCTTGCCAAACAGATATACGGTGCCCATATTTGCACCGAAGAGCTCCTCATGCGCATCAACCATATAGAAAGGCAGAGAGCCATCAGCGTCAATATCAAAATGGGATTTATCTTCAGAAGTATCTGCAGCAGAATCAGCATTTCCACTCCCTTCACTTCTCACTGCTTGCCATCCCGCAGTGGCACTCAAAGCTGGGTCTTTTACATCGCTAATCGTAGCATTCAAAGTACAAACCGGCTCCTTCTTCACTAAAGCTTCTGACTTCGTTTCTACCACAATTGGCATATTATCTTCAATTACATCTTCCTTGATCGAAGGATTATGAGATTGCCCAACTGAAACCAGATTCATTTCAGAATCTAAATCATCCTTTGAATCAAATTTCTTAGTTTCACCATTTCCCTGGATCTCTATATCAGCTCGCACAGACTCCAAATCACTGTTTGTGAAATCCTTGGTCATTCCAGAGTTCCCGTTTACAGTTCCCTTAACCAATTCAGATCCACCAGTTAAATTAAGACTCTGAGCAATTACTCCCTCGCATTTCATAGCAGGAACAGGCGCAAATGTTTTCGATATCGGTGTAGCTCCGATTTGCCCCTTTCTACGCCGCTCTCTATCAGTCTCATCCGGCGCAAATTCGGCAATCACATCATCGACAATACTGTCACAAGCCAACCCTTTAGCCTTATCATCTTTACCCGTTTTCCTGAAGATCGATGAAGTGAACATCGAAGAAAGCTTCTGTTTCCCCATCATCGCAGCCGCCGCCGACAGAGAAGTAGAAGAGGGCTTCTTCGGTTGTGCTTCTTTCTTCTCTGATTTCCTCTTCTTAGGTTTCTCAGGCTCGCCATCAGACTCGTCGGAGGAACAAATCCCAGCTTTGGACCAATCCTCTTCCTCGCCTTCGTCTCCATATCCAAGACCGTCGTCGTCAACAATAAACCCTCGGGCTTCTTCGCGACGCTTTGCAACAAGAGCATCATACTCGTCCTCGGGAATCGTATCGTAGATAGGGTTCTCCAACTTAACTTGGAAACCACCGGCTTCTGATCGACGGCCGCCAGTGCGGATGGCTTTGAGACGTTCCAGAGCCTGAAGGCGGGCGGTTGCCTCAGATCCTCGGCTCCTCCGGCGATTTGCGGCTGAAGGCTGCTCGTCCGCCATTTCTGATTAGAAATTAATCCGGACGGCGCTGGAGTTAACTTGGATTTTGTTGGTGCGAATTTGCGTCAGGGTTTGGAGTCGAAATGGCGGGAAGAACTTGTGCTTTTTGGCGGGAAACGGGTCTAATGTTCTTTATTTCCTGTCCCTCTACATACATAAAAATAAAAATATTAAAAACTACCCAAAACGAAGAATAAATTATTCAAATCTATTTTAATTATAAAAAGAGAATAATTATCGAGAGTTATTTATTTAAAATTAAATAATATAATAAAATAATTGAAAATATTTTATATATTTTGATACGTGATATTTTTTTTTTTCCAAACCTCACTGACAAAACCTTCAACTCAACGACCCCAAATGAGTACTATTTAGCTTGACATGTCATACTCGTAGTTAATCTCATGGTGTCCTTACTTATAAATTCATAATTTTCTTCTTAATTAGCCAAGGTAGACTACTCTGCCTCCCCTGAGGTCCCATTCTTTGGAGCTCTCGAACAATCTCTCTTAGTAGAGGCTTGACTTCCTCTTTAAAGCCCATCGAACAAAATGGTACGATAGTATGCACTCTAAGCATAAACTCTCATTGCTCTACTCTTAGTTTCCTCAGAAGACTCTATACCAATAGAGACAGTGTTTCTTACTTATAGCTCGTGACTTTAATTTTAATTAGCTAACGAGGGGGACTACTCATCTCAATAATTTTTAATACCATTCTTACGTAGAGACTCAATTCCCTCTTACACTGTGAATATCCACTTATTAATATAAATATAGACGGTTTCTCGCTAAATTCAACCAATTTTAAAGCACGAGTAACTTAATCCGCCCTTGCATTTGTTCGAGGAAGTCTAATTTCTGTTGCAGGCATGTCCCTAGCAATAGTACATTCCAGATTTTGTTACGAATAATAAAAAAATAATAATAAAATATATACAATTTCCAAGCTGAATTTGTTCTGTCGTTACATTAATAATTATTTACAGAGTGACAAAACTGTCTCGCAATCAGAACAGAACCGTGGAATAATCCTTCACAAAAATATTTTTTCTACTGTTCCTACTTTTATCTACCCCAAAAATAAATAAAATGAAATAAAAAATCTCTCCATCACCTCACTGTGACCCAACTTTCTGTAACAGACCAATCCAATGGCTTCTCCGTCACTAGCCGTCGGAGTCTATTCATCATCTCCGCCGAGGAACTAGAACAACACAAATTCATCTCGTCACAACGTTGATTTGAAGAACAAACGAATTCCGGGAAGTCGAAAGGACCCGTCGGCGACTCGGTTGACAGGTTCGATTCTTTTAATGTAACAGTCTCTCCGGCACCGGCGACAAATGGGTGATTCAGAAGCATCTCCGCCGTCCATCTCTTCCTCGGATCCTTGACGAAACACCGACGGAGAAAATTTTTCCCCTCCTCCGATAAATTCTCTGGCAGCTCCGGCACTTCGTCTCCGATTCCGATCATCATCATCAGCCCAAATATATCCGTTTCTGGCTTAACCCTCCACGCCGGCTTTCCTCTCACCATCTCCACGACGGCGCAACCCAACGCCCAAACATCACACGGCGGCGCATACTTGCCGCCGTTTACCGTCTCTGGCGACATATACATCGGCGTCCCTCTCCACTCAAAATTCTCCTCTGTTTCCTCTGTTTCCGCCGCCGCGGCCTCTTTCGCAAGCCCAAAATCAGCGATCTTAACCTCACCATTCCCAAAAACCAACACATTGGAAAGCTTCAAATCACAATGAACAAACCCATTACCATGAACATGCCGAAGCCCACAAAGAATCGCCCTCGTATACCGTCGAACATCAAATTCCAGCAACCCACCGCCGTGGAGTTTCACAGTATCCGCAAGGCTTCCGCCATTGGCATACTCCAAGAACAGATTATAATACTTCTCCCCATCTCTTTCAACACTAAATCCATCGCCATAACAAGTAACGATTTGTGGGCAATTCCCAATTCGATCCAAAACTTTCTTCTCGTTCTTCAGCGAAGCAGAGGACACCGAAACAGAAACAGAGGATTTCACCGCCATTAATGGCGGAAACTGATCGAAGCCCTTTGTGAGTCTTGCTAAACTGATGGTCCCAAAATTTCCACGACCCAGTTCATCTCCTCGAACCCACTCCATTGATGAAACTCGAAGGCTAAATCTTGTTGGTTCTCCGATGGGTTTCTTTCTTGGCGAAGAAGATAGAAATAGCGATGAATTTATAATTCAAAAGATTCTGAAAGGTAATTCCATAAAAGGAAACAGAGTTGTAAGCCGAAGATCATATGAAATAAAAAAGGAAAGAATTTTAGAAGTATTTATGGCACATGATCACCACGCAAGATTTTTGGCCGATGTTTAATGATTTCTTTACGAATTTAAGATATTTTCGATGATTGAATATACCAATATAATTTTACATATTCTTCTCTATCTTTATCTTTATCTGTATTTAAATGGTTTGGTATTTTTCTATAAAATTATGTATTTTGTGACATCCTATGACAAAACATGTTGAAATGACTCGTGTGGTTTGTGAGAATAGTGTTCACTCTTATAAATGAATGTCAGTATCACCAGATACCGAATCCATATTTAAAATCTTAGTTTAAATTTGAATGAATTAAAATACCAAACTAATAATTGTATCAACGTCTATTATTATTTATTTATTTATGTTAAGATTTGAGCTAGTTGTAGCCTGATATGAGCAAATATGTTGGGAAATTGAAGTAATTGAACATAAAATAATAATAATATAAAAAATGTGAATTATGTTATAAGATAAGATATTTAGGATATATAAACATTATAATTTAGCATTTGAGAAACCCAAAATCCATGTTCCAAGAAAAGAGACACTCTCCTCTTCCCTAAAACTCATTGCCTGCTTTTCACCCTTTCATTTTATTATTCTATCTATAAATAATCAACCAACCTCAATCTTTTCTCATTTTCATACCATGTAAGATCAACCTATGATAGGATCAAACAATTTCTTAAAATAATATTTTGGTTTGGTGTATCGTTTAAAGATATTTGACTTTATAAAAGAAAAAGTCGGTATGGATGTTGATAAGAAAAAGGTGTTCCAAATGTTTCAACGGTACCTATTACACGATCCAAGACCATGAAGATTCAACAACCATTCATTCTTTATCTACAAGATTGGATAGCCTTGGTTCAATCGTTATTTTATGTGTTACAAGCTTATTTGATTGAGGAATGACCATTTATAGATTCATAAGTGAATATTTGCACGGTTGAAGTAGTGAATGAAGTTGCTATAAATTGTATTTGATTGATAACTTCTTTAAAAACTTTATTATTATTTTTAATTTCATAATTATGGTAACTTCTCCCGGACATTTAAGGGGATCGGGATTATACTATGACCACTCACTCTTTTTAGTGGGCATTTGAAAAATTGAAAGTTTCTTTTTTGAGATACTATAAATACTCATAAATTTTTATGTTAAAGATAAATTGGTCAGGAATGAAATCAACATTTCAATTAGACTTTCACCTTCTAAATTTGAGCATTATCTCTGCCATTTTTAAGTTTTCATGTAATTCTTATGGTAAATGCATCTGAGCCATTCAATCAAGACTTGATCTGAGTTCGACTTTTGGAGTGACTCAATTTAGAAAAGTTTTCAAATCTTGATTCGAGATCTTTGATATTAAAACGTAATATGATTCTAATTTTATCAGTTGGTTGATCCTGTACATGTTAATTTTTTTTATTTAAAGGTCCTTGCTTGTATTAAAAGTATTTGTGGGTTGAGTTAGATTGAGTTTGAACCTTTTTTATACTCAACTCTATTGTTCGGGTATAAATTTTTCGACCCAAACAACCATTATTTAAATTATAAGCCCAATCCAATCCTATATTTTTCTGGTTGGGTTGGTTCGAATTGTTTGGTTTATTTATTTAATTTTTTGTTTTTAATAAGAGTGAAACACTCTTTGAAAAATATCTATTTATTTGTTTTTAAATATTTAATTAGTTCAAATAGTTATAAATTATTTTTAAAAGTTGTGGGAGAATAAATAATAAACAATTACATAAGAAGAAAATAAATATATGCCATGTATAATTGTATCGTGAGCAAAAATATATATTTTAAAATTAACAATAAATTCACTCATTCAACCCAAAATAAATAAAATTAATAAAAAAAGGAATTAAATTTCAAAATGAATTGAATAAAAGCATCTCATCCAAATTAAATAATATTGGACAAAATTCTCTCACGCAAACAAAAATTTATTAGAGAGTATATTTATGGTATCGAAATATAACGACGTTGTAGAATATTATATCACAATATTCTATTTCAATTTTTACCTATTTTAATTAAAATATTTTAATTAAAGTTCAAACAAGGTAGGATCTAACGAGAAATGTTCGATGTATGGGATGGAGAATGGAAACCTTCTCGAGTCTAAACAAAATATAATATTCTACCAACTTAATTTATAAAAAATTAAATTTAAATATTACTAGCATCTTTATTACTAAAAATATTTAACATATTTACTCAAATAAATGGAAACGAGAAATACGCATGGGACGTAGAAGGGTGGGATAAGAATATAATCCTTATCACTGGTTTCGTTTAGCTAATGAAAAATCTCAACCCCGTATAACAAATGGACATCTATAGATCAAACATTCATATCCTCAATGCCCGTGCAAGTTACGTGTCAGATTTGAACGAATGTGAAGTTTGAATCTGAAAAATTCAAAGAGAGCTTGAGAAATACGTGAAGATGCCAACAACTAATTCACGAAGGAAATGATAATCTAATTCAATATGTTTGGACTACTCGTAAGAAACGGAATTGGAGTTCAAAAAATAGCATAAGAGAACCGATTATAATAGTAAAATAAAGGTTTTGGATATGGATATTAGTGTGGGGTGTGGTGAGATGAGTATCGAGCAGGGCAGTGCAATGGATATTGGAAGAAGAATGGGATGAGATGAGAGCAAGTTGTAAGTTACCCAATCTGCATCGCTGCCACAGCTTGATTGTCAGTCTTACTCCTTCCCCTACTTGCCCACATGCTCCAACTTATATAAATCT